GTGGCTGGATCAGAAACCACATTACAACCCCATGGAGAATGTTTTATTAGTGCGTATCTTTCCTCTTGGTTTCCTTCCCTTCCTTTCAGATTCCAGTGCTCCCAAGCACAGAGGACAGAGCATGTTAGCTTCCTTGTTGCTTCTATTTCAAGTCCACCTGAGAGAGAATGAGCTCGGATACTGAGCTCACATTCTGCTTTCTTGTTCTCTGGAGGCAGAGCCAAAAGCTTGTAGCAAAAAGCAGTCGATTTATCCTGACATATGCTTCGTGTAACTGGAGATGTTAAAAGGCCCAGCGTAGCTGCACTGAACTGAATACAATCATCCCAGCCCACGATCACCTGACATGCAATTTAGACAAGTGGATTAGTCAACCTGGGTCTAGGCACCTTCACGCATGAACATGGGTGCGGGTTGCCAAGATACTCTCAAGAATGTCCTATGCGTTTACTGAAGCAGGAATCCAAAATTAGAAAAATGCAAATGGCTGTCGAATATGCACAGCAAAAGGATGGGCCTTTGCCAATTTAGCTGGCTCCCCTCATAAGCCCGAGTCTGTGTCTTCCACGGAGTAAGGGAGCTGTGGGGTCTTATGTTGGTTACTAGAGATAAAAGAATTCCAGATGTACCAAGATTCTCACCAGAAGACCCTTGAAAGAAACTGGCATGCCAAGTGTAGTCAGCAAACTAACCAGGAAAGGATAGTCCCAACCTCACTCATGCCCTGCAGAGGTCAGGAGTCGCTAGACATGGGGATGGTTCATTGAGCCGAACCTTTTCCACATCCCCATTTCAGGTCTTTCTCTCCTGGAGCTTCCAAACTCACAGGGCCTGGCCACCACTTAGTTTCCCAAGTCCATAAAATTCTATACCAATACCACTCCATCTGGCCGCATGCTACTGGCTAGAGGGAGAGTCGATTCGGTAAAACCCATGGCCGCTCGCTCACTCCCGGGTGGAGCTGTCTTCTGAGGGAGGCCTCAGCTTCCTGTAATCCATTGAATGGGTGGATTTGATGGCCCCAAGCCTCAACATTCCGTGCTGTTCATTTGGCAGAAAATTCTGTGTCGCTGTTATGAGCCCTGATGTTCTGGCTCATTCTGCCTCTTTTCCATTTCTGCATCCCCTTGTGGGAGTTATCAGCAGACCACAATGCCATGTGCAGGCAGCTCTGACGGAGAAAAGTTAACACCATTATGAGGCAAGGTGTGAGGATACGTGCACACTATCAGATTTCTCTCTCACGCTGCCTTCCATAGTTTTAAAAATACTTTTCATTGTGCAAAGTCATCTGTCACAGCCATTCTGACGTAAATATGCTACTGTTTGTTTATACAATACATATGTCTAAAACCTATGTTTTCACAAACCCAAAAAATTCTTGTGAGTTCCAGGGAGCCAAATTGAAGGATCCACCTTAAACAGATCAGATATATTGCTCTCAATTTCCTGGTCCTAAATTTTTTTTTCCTAAATTTATTTTTGTCCTCTGTTCTGCCAATACCTTAAACACTGAACATCAGATATTTCCATACCATAAACACTGGATAGGAGCAAAGAGACCAGCTATGCTAGGATGTGACCAGCACCCAGCTTTCTCAGGTTTCTCCTCCCCAAGATGATGCCCACAAATAAGCAGGAAGCAGTTTTGAGAATCCACGGTCTCAATTCCTTTAACATGTTGTACCTAACCTCCTGTCTTTTTACTAAAAAAAGAGATGGGAATGTAATGGTCTGTCCTGTACCTTTAAGAGACCAGCTCCACCCACTCCCCCCCCTTCACTAAGGCAAGCCATCTTCCTTGGCTTTCAGCCTGAGCTCCTTCCCTTTGTCTCTCTTCTGAAGAGGTGGCTTCTCTTCTCCTCTCCTCTCCTCTCCCCCCATTCTTTCTCTCTCTCTCTCCATCTGTGTCTCTCACTTGCCATGGCTTCTCGTGAGACCGGCTGACCCACCGAGGTCTCTCACCCACTGCGTGGCTCCCTGCCTAGGGCCCGCTGCCACCCCTCGGAAACCTGCAGGGTTTTATTTTTACCACAACACCCTCTTCCTGACTGGGTGTTGTTTTTACAGAATATGTATCAGTCGTTTTGAATGTAATTTCAGGGATAAACTAAGAAACTATGTGTAATGGGCAATTCTTTCTTGTTTAAGGCAGGATCTCATTATATAACCCAGGCTAGCCTTCAACTCATAACCATCCTTTCCTAGCCTTCTGGGGTATGTGCCAATATACAGCTCAGGCTAGCCTCAACCTTTCGTGAGTCTGAACTCCTGGTTCTTCAGTCTCTCTCTCTTGAATGTCAGGGTTAGAGGTGTGTACCAGCACATCGAGCTGAATCTAGTTCTTTTCCAGTGTGCATATCAAAACGATTCATTACTGCCTGGGTCCAGAGGGGTCCATTTGTAATAGATCTGGCTTATGCATCTGACTAAGTCGAAGCCGCTGCTTTGGTGAATTCCACAGTGAATACCTGTTCCATAAAGTTTTTTTTTTTTTGAGACCTTTTCCATGTGCGCCTTTTCGAACAGAGTATAAAAATTGGGCTGATCAGCTAGCTGACCCGTTATTCTTATCTCCAGTTGAAAATTTTTAGGTTACCACGGCCTATTTATAGCTTTTAGTCCCTGATATGTGGGAAACATTAACCATCCAGAGAGGCTTATAGCTCATTTTGGGGGTAAGAATTGAATATGATTTTAGATTTTTTTTTCCTAATGGCCCAGTGAATGTGCATTTTTCAATTTCCTGACGATCAGCTGGTCCACTAGAGAGGACAATGACTCTTTATAGAAACTCCAAGACAAAAGGTATATATTCCGGGACTATCTATAAATTTTACAATTCCATTTTAGTAGTGTTCGTGTTATTAACAAACTTCAAAGGCAGGAAAGAGTCTTTGAAAGTGAAGTTTCAGGGTCAGCAGTGGGGTTGGCTCCACGAATTGACTTTCCCATTGGATTTTAAAGGTTTTACTCTAGCCTCGCTTAGTCTTCAATGCCAAGCAACCAAAGTGGAATTTAGTCTAATTAAAAAAAAATTTAAAAAGTTCAAATATTCATTCGAGAAGAGTAAAAAATGGCATATCCTCACATATGTATCACAATGTGGTTTTTGTTTTGCTGTGTATAATTGATCAGTCTTGTCTTTTGCTGAAAGTTTAGAATGAGTTTCAAACACTGACTTCACCCTGGAATTCTTCAGGTGGGGCTCAACCATAGCTCCTCCAAGGCACTCTGTGCCAGCCGGGCTTCTCGTCGCTGTGGCAAATGCCCGAGTCAACTCTGGACCTGTGAATGAACGCGCACCATGTAGACGGGTGTGCTCACCTCCTGGCAGTCGGCGGGGCGGGGGTGGATATTAAGAATAAGGCATAGTCCCCAAGAACACGGCCTCCAATGACCCACTCCCTCCAGCCAGGCCACTCCTGTAGTTTCTTTCCCACCTGGGGACCAGATCGCCAACGCGTGAGCCTGTGAGAGGGCATTTCATATCCAAACCACCCCACATTCCAGTCACAATTCCTTGGCATTGTTTAAAATGACCCCCTGTTAGGGTTGAATTTTCCGAATTCACCTCCCAGTTTTTGTGATCATTTTGTTCAGATTGGAATCCCAAATCACCTTTGGCTGTTTGCCCGCTAAGCCTCTGCAGATCCAGAGCTGTTTCAAGGGTGGGGAGAGGAAGCTGAGTTGGTAAAGGGCTTATCACACAAGAGTAAGGACCTGAGTTCAAACCCCAGGACTCACATGAAAAGGTCAAGCACAGTGGTACATATTTGTCCTCTTGGTGGGGGCGGTGGAAGACAGGAGGGTCCCTGAGGCTCACTGAACATCCCGCTTAGAGAGCTCCAGGCAGGAGGGGACACACACACACACACACACACACACACACACACACACACCCATATACTGCTTAGAGAGCTCCAGGCAAGAGGACACACACACACACACACACCTACCCCCACACCCACACACTGCTTAGAGAGCTCCAGGCAAGAGGACACACACACACACACACACACACACGCACGCACGCACGCACGCACGCACGCAGCACGCACGCACGGCCCTACAGCAGTTCTCATCCATTCCCTTTTAATTCATGCCGTTCATTTCAAGGGATTTTTGTTCTTCAGCTGGCCCAGGTTCTGTTTTTAACCAGTGTTTAATAATCTTTCTTTCATGTTTTTTATTAAGGCTTTAGCATATTGGGGTGCAACATTTGATGTTTCTTTATGCTGTATCACACCATGAGGCAGGAAATACATGAGGCAGGAAATACAGGGGTCACCCAAGTTTGGTGTTGCCAGGGCTAGCCATTGAGTGCCGCCAGAGAAAGACCTGCCCCAGCAACATATGCTTTCTCTCTCAGAACTAGAAATAATCTCCTGCAAACACACACTCCTTTATCTTTTCCTGTCTCAGCGCCCACAGGTGTTTATTGCTTTCACCAGCTATTACGTTAGGGTCACAACGGGACATTTTTACAGTTTGTTTTTTTCTTTTATTTTTATTATCTGCAACTCTATAGAAAAGCTTCCCTCATCAATGGTCAATTGGTTATTCTAAAATATAGTTCGTGTACTAAAGATAGAATAAACACTTAAGTCTTTTCAGCTCATCTGATTTTGAATCATTAGTTACTGAAGCTGCTAAAATCACACAGTTAAGATGTCATTGAAAATATGGCTCTGGGCTAGTGAGGTGGCTCAGCAGGTAAAGACATTTGCGACCAAGCCTGATGACCTGAGTTTCCATCTTTGGGGATTAGAAGTTGGAAGGAGAGAATCCACTCCAGCAAGCTGTCCCTTGACTTTCATATATTTGCTGTGTTACACATGCATGCCCCTCTCAAATAGATAAATACAATTAAAAAATACAAACCTCATCCTCATCCTTTGGATCAGAATCCAGTATGACAAGACTTGGTTTCTCAAGAAGTCTATGTCTGTGACATAACATGACAAAGGACCATTTATAGGGACCTGTGTAGTGTGGTTTGAGTCCAGAAAGTTTTGAAGGAAAAATGCTATTCCATCATCATTATGTTCATAATTGTTTATTTTTTCAATCATAAAATAATAATAATAAAACCACATCAACTTGCTATCCCTAGCATGTTCACATAAGGGAGAGACCTGGCGGCTGAGGTGGGATGCTGGGCATAAAATGAAGATTCCTTGAACCTTGTCTGGGCTCCATGGGTTCACAAAATAAAAAAATCCTTTAAGCAACAGTCACAAGCACCTGTCCTGGCTGGTTTTACATCATTTATAACACAAGCTACAGTTATCTGAAAGGAGGGAACCACAAGTGAGAAAATGCCTCCCTAAGACCCAGTTGTAAGGCATTTTCTTAATTAATGATCAGCGGGGGAAGGCCCAGACCATTGTGGGTGGTACCATCCTGGTGTGGAAGGCTTTGTCTATGGTTGCTTTTATTGGTTAATGAATAAAGAAGCTATTTTGACCAGTGGTTTAGCAGAATAGAGCTAGGTGGGGAAAACTAAACTGAATGTTGGGAGAAAGAAGGCAGAGTCAGAGAAAAGCCATGTAGCCCGGCTGGAGACAGGTGCTGGAACTTTATTCAATAAGCCACAGCCTCATGGCGATACACAGATTAATGGAGATGGGTTAATTTAAGATGAGTTACCCAGAAATATGCTTAAGCTATTGGCCAAACAGTATTGCAAATAATATGGTTTATGTGTGATTATTTCTGGACTGCGCAGCTGGGAACAAACAAGCGGCCTCCTACAATACCATCCCTAGGTGGCGGCCCTGGGTTCTATAAGAAAGCAGACTGCTCAAGCCACTAGGAGCAAGCCAGCACCCCTTCACGGCTTCTGCATCAGCTTCTGATTCCAGGTCTATGCTTTGCCTGAGTTCCTGACTTCCTTCAGTGATGAGCTACAATGCTGAAGTATAAGCCAAATAAACCCTTCCCTCCCCAACTTGCTTCTCTGTCATAGTGTTTCATCGCATCCATAGAAACCCTAATAAGAGAGCACCCTATTATTTCATGTTTTATTCTGAAAAAGGCTTAATTTAAAACATTTCTTCATCTGTTAATCACAGTGTTCATGTTATATACTGTCTTGGTTAGGATTTCTACTGCTGTGAAGAGACACCTTGACCATGGGAACTCTTATAAAAGAAAGCATTTAGTTGGGAGGTTTACAATTCAGACATTTTAGTCTGTTATCATCATGGTGGGACACAGCAGTGTGCAGACGGACGAGGTGCTGGCGACGGAGCTGAGAGTCCTACATCTTGATCTGCAAGAGGTAGGAAGTGCGCTGGGACACTTGGAGTGGATTGATCATATAGGAGACCTGAAAGCTCACACCCACAGTGACACACTTCCTCCAACAAGGCCACACCCACTCCCACAAAGCCACACCTCCTAATAGTGCCACTCCCTATGAGCTTATGGGGGCCAATTACACTCAAATTCCCACCTGTACCCAAACTGTCTTCTTAAGGTGCCCTGCTTCCGCTGGCATCTCCACAGCAGCCGGGCTTGGTATTTCTTCTTCCAAAGGCTCACTATGTTTTACCACATAGAAGTAATTCGATAGTGTTGGTGATTCCAGGAATTGACATTTATGCAGGAGGAATTGTTGGCAACGGGCCTTTGGGTTTCTGGGATGTTTGCCAGAGAGTTTATCTGTGTGTGTCTTCATACGCTTTGTTGACAGTCGCCTTCTTAGCAGGTGACAGGTGTGACCTTCTGTCCCTACTTTTCATCACATTTATTTAAAAACCCTTATCTTAGCCGTGACCCCGTGGCAAACTTCAAAAGAGACAGGTTGTGAGGAGGAAGATTTGGCTGGGCACAAAAGCTGGACTTCCTGTGGGACCAGCTGCCCTCTGGGGCTCTGCATTGCCTTCCCAGACACTCCAAGGAAAGGGGCCATGGCCTCTTCCTGAGTCCAGGAATCTGAAGAGGAAGTAAATCTCTCTCCTTGGAACCTGGAAAGAAGAGCCACGTGTTCAGACTGGAAACACACTGCTTTTCCCTAGGGAGTGCTCTTGGCAAGAGTTTTCTGGGGTTGGCCGAGTGCCAGCAAGGACACAGACGGGTCCCTCTCTCTTTTCACTCTCTGCAAGTCTGAACCACACTCTCTTCTCTGGTAGGAATCCTTTCTTTTTTTTAAAGGCAGAAGAGAAAGTGTTTTTAGAGACCATAGCAACTCAAGGGCCCCTAAAGACTACAATCTCCATGTCGACGTGGAGAAAACCAGTAAGTTGTCATATGACATGTGTCGTGGTGCAGCAAGACCCCCAGATGGAGTCTCCACTACAGCCACACATTGGAATCAGGGCTGTCCACGCATCCTCAGTGCACCCCCTCACCTCCTTGGGCACATGGCTCTCCACAGTTAAAGGCTGCTTCTCACAGACGTGGTGAGTCCGGAATCCGGAGGCAGAAGGCTTGCGTTGGGAAACTGACTTCATCACACAAGAACTTTGTGAGCTTGGGCAATGGGAACTTTTTCCACATCAGAGTCTTCACTTCTACCAACAAGACTGTAATCCGACCTGCGGTGACATAGACTAGGCCAGCACTCAGGAGACTGGAGGAGGATTTTGAGTTTGAGGCCAGTCTGTGCTAGATCATGAAACCCTGTCTCAAGAAGCAAACAACAACAAACCCCCCACAAAACCAAGTCTTAAAGCCTAATACTCAAGCTGGCCCTTGCCTTTTCTTCTTCCGTTGTTGCTGCTGGCTGGTGGGGTGGGGCAGCCAGGAGTTGATGTGTACCAGGCTTACTTGACCTTAAATTCTAGCTCTATGAGTTCAGACAAGTCCTTAATCTGCCCCTGCCTTCATTTCCGCCCTTTGCCAAGTGGGGTTAAAAATAGCACTGATCTTATAGGATTACGCTGGTGATTAACTGGGTAACAGTGGGAAACACCCTTAGCTGTTGCCTTAAGTTGCCAGGATTTGGGTGGTGTTACGTTAGGTCAGAGGGGAGAGGACTGGGAAGATGCCATCATCCCTTGAACCTTAGGGATGGGTCACTCAGGCAGAAGACACAGGGATAGTTTTATTTTTGAGGGGGAAGAGGCAGAGTATTGCACAAACCCTCCAGTTAGCCCCTCTCGCTATTGCAGGAGCAAAGGGGAACTTCCATGCCAATACTGCAGAGAAGGCAGGAATGGTGGATGGGAACCTGCAGGACACGGCTGGTGACAGTGACCTCAGAGACGAGCATCCGGCATCGGGAAAAGGGGCTTGAAGACAAGCACGGGACACGGAGATTGTAGAGTGTAGAACCCTGCCCTGGGAAGAGGAAGGAAGAGAAAATGACTGTGTGATCCACAGGGAGACCATGGCCAGCGTAGACACCATCTGAAGTCCCCCAGACCTCCCTTGGCTCGAGGGAGCTTCAGGATCCTTAAAAAGTAGTCAGATCTCCACTATGGCTGTTCACGTGAGAATTTTCCATTTTCTCACTTAGGCACTCAGATCTTTAGGGAGACCTGGTCTGTGTGTGGGAGCCAAATCAGGTACAGGAAAACTCAGAACAAGAACCTAGGTGTGGCTGATCTGGTAGAAGCCTTCACTCACCCACCCATAGCACATATTTTTTTGAGCACCTGCTGTATGCTAGCTACCATTCTAGGATCCAACTGTATACCAGACAATGCCTTCCTTTCAGGCACTTGTAGCTGATGAGAAAAGGAGACTATAAAACCAAATAGGATATAATGTGATATTCCTGGGTCCTAGGATATGAATATGTTCAGCTTTAGCAAATGCTCCTAAGAAATTTTCTAAAGTAGCTAGCAGGAGGGTAGCTAGCTACTACACCCTCAACCAACAGTGTGTGAAGGTCCATATCCTTGCCAACACTTGGCAGTTTCTTTTTCATTTTAGCCATTGTTTTGTATCATAGTTTAAATGAAGTCATTTGTGAAGTTGAGCACATTTTCAATGATTTGTTTTGTCTTCTCTTTGGGTTCCTCCCCTTTCTCTCCCCTTCTTTCCCTTTCTTCCCCACTGCCTCTCTCTTCTTCATCTGCGAGCGGCTTACTCCAGTCCACACATCCCGAAGTGGTTGCTTGATTTCTTGAAGCCAGCCAGGGAAGCACAGAAAGCCAGTATGGCTGGAGTAGAGGGAAGGAAATAGGGGCCAGAGAAACGTGGAGGAGGAGCACAGGTTCTGGTGAGTCTTGGTGAGGGTGTGGTTAGCACACGAGTAGAGAGACCGGGTCACAGAGTGTAGAACCTGTTTCACAGGGTCATTCTCCTGTGTAGATTCATGGTTCCCAGAGATGTCGGTGCACGCGTCCCCAGATTCTTCTGGCAGAGGGAATTAATGCTGCTACTTGCTGGTCTTAAGCACCCCAGGTTGTCTTGATGGCCCCCATGTATTCACAGAGGCCCTTGTAAGTGGGAGACAGGCAGGTGATGAACAGCGTGAGCCAGCTCTGTCAGTATTGCCAGAATTTGTGCGCGAGGAAGGGAAGGAGTTATGAGCTGCAGCGGTTAGTGTCATCTGTCACCTTGACAGAGTCCAGAGTCACAGGGAATTCAGAGCAGGCTGTCAGGGATTATCTTAATTATGTATCTTAGTCCTGAGTGGGACCATTCCCTGGGGAAGGAAGGGGAGGAAGGGAGGGGGGAGGAGAGAGTTTAGCAGCAACATGTATGCATTCACGGCTCTCTCCTTACAGTATGAGGCACAATGTGAGCTGCTTCCAGCCTCTGCTGCCTTCACACCGCTGCATCTTGACCTGTGAGTTAAAAGCCTTTCTTTATTGACTGCCTTGGTCATGATATTCTATCCCAGCAACAGGAAAAGATTCTAGGACATCAGCAAAGGAGTGGGAAAGGCTTTGAAATGGGCTCTCAAGTATGCAGAAGGAACTCACGCTGTTGACACCCTGGTTGTAGATCCTTGAGGGGCATTTGAGATACGCAGCCCAGAACTCAACTGTGCTGTTTTTAAGTCACTGTCTTAGTTCAGGTTTCTACTGTTGCAACGAAACACCACAGGCCGATGTCTAAGTTAGGGGTTCTATTGCTATGTGAAGAGACACCATGACCACAGCAACTCTTATAAAGGAAAACATTTCCTTGTGGTGGCTTACAGTTCAGAGGTTTAGTCCATTATTGTCTTGGCAGGAAACAAGGCAGTGTGCAGGCAGACGTGGTGCTGGAGAAGGAGCTGAGAGTCCACACATCTTGACTCACAGGCAACAGGAAGTGGTCTGACACACCACCATGGCTTGAGCATCTAGGAGACCTCAAAGCCTGCCTCCGCAGTGACACACTTCCTCCTACAAAGCCATATCCCCTAATAGTGCCACTCCCTTTGGGGGGCATCTTCTTTCAAACCAACACAGCGAGCAAGTTGGGGAGAAAAGGTGTGGGGTCCCTCTGCAGACCCTGCTGGCTGCTCAACACCCAGCCCGGGGATGGGGGGGGGGTCCTGGAGACAATCAAATGCAGGGAGACACTCAGACGCAGCAGGGAGTCCAGTTAAGCAGGAACTAGTTTATTTCCTTACGGCATGCAACTTATAAAGCAAAAACCTACGAATCCCAGAAGAAGCGGAAGGAGAATTAGTTAATCACATCAGCAGTCACACCTGCGTGAGTTTCTGTTCCTATAGCCCCTAATGAAAAACACGAGGGCATCAGGCGGTTTATGTCATCTTACCCCATCTCTAACGTCAATCATCTTCTTTTAAATAAGTCAGATCTCCTCCCGCCTTGCTCCCCTTCAGAGCCATTTCGGCTGGGAGTATTCTTCATGGGCTTTGCAACATCACTGTTTTTTTTTTTTTTTTTTTTTTAATTCTGAGCCCTTTTCTAACTGTTCTGCTTTTGGCGTAGCTCTTCAGCTTTTGGTGCCAACTGCACCTTTTTCTTTTTTTTTTTTTTTTTTTTTTTTTTTTGCGCTAATTTGGCCACTCCAGCCTCCTATATGCGCATGCTCGATTCAGCCCACAAAAAAGGATTTCTTTGGCTTATATATTCACATGCTGTTCATCACTGAAAGAAATCAGGACAGGAACTCAAACAGGGCAGGAACCTGGAGGCAGGAGCTGATGCAGAGGCCGTGGAGGGGTGATGCTTATTTGCTTGCTCTCATAACTTGCTCAGTCTGCTTTCTTGTAAAACACAGCACCACCAGCCCAGGGACAGCACCACCCACTGTAGGCTGGCTCCTCCCCCATTGATCACTAATTGAGAAAATGCCTACAGCTTTTTCTCATGGAGCCATGTCCTCAGCTGAGGCTCCTTCCTCTCAGATGACTCTAGTTTGTGTAAAGTTGACACACAAACCAGCCAGTACAGTCACTAATACTATGATATTTGTTTTAGCAGCAAAAGGAAGCCAGTGCACCTCTTGTGGGTGAAGAAAGCACCCTTAAGAGGCTTTTTGATAACCAGATGAGAGGCGGAGGCAGTTTGGGCCAGGAAGATTAAGTGGAATTGAGGGCGAAAATAAACCAGGGAAGCAAAAGTAACATCACTGAGCATTTAAATGCCCCTCCCCCATTTCATCCTCACATGATGAGGCTCAGAAGAAGAAATGCTTCCTCAAGAGGTACAGGGGGCAGCAGCTCACACACCCAGGTTCCAGGAGGTCAGAGCCCTTGGTTTTTGTTCTTATTGGGTGCTTAAAATTGTATCAAAAGTCTTTACGTTGTTTTTACTGTGCTTTGGAAGGGCCAGGTGGAGAGAGAGCAGCGGCTGTGTGTATTCTCTCAGCAATGGGTGAACCCCTGCATGTGTTCTCTCAGGAATGGGTAAACCTCAGGGCACAGAATCTACAGGAACTGGCCCTGCCCAAAATGGGGGGGGAGAGACGACTCCCTCCACCAGAGTCCACACAAAGTCTGGACTTGATTCAGGTGAAGAAGTCTCTGATAGTGAATATGACAGGTCAGGACAGAACAAGGTAGCTGTTGTAGCTGACCCCGACTCAAGGAGCCAACCCAGGAATTTCTCTGTCTATAAGTTGCTACTTTATAATTGTAATTTTGCTACTGTTATGAATTGTAATGTAAATATATGATATGCAGAATGGTAGCAGATGATATTTGACACCCCCCCCCCAAGGGATCCTGACCCATGGGTTGAGAACCATTGCTCTAGAGAGTGCTTTATTAGACTCAGTAGACAGCTGCACACTGGTAGATAGTTCCCCATTTTATGGGTGAGGAGAGGCACATTCAGCTAAGCTGGAGGATGCGCTGGAGATCAGCAGTGGCCTTGGTAACGGATGTCTCAGCAGTCTTCCAAGTGACACCCCCGACCCACAACACAGACAGCGACATTCTCCTTCTCCGGTGAGCTGGTGCTGTTGGTTGACAGTGGGGTCCTACTAGACCGCACAAACACCTTCTCTGCTGCCAGAAAAGGTGACAGAAATGCAGTTTCCAAGTTTTCTGCTGTAGAGAGCTTGCAGTAGAGATGGTGGAAAGGCTAGAATGGGTGGGAAGGAGAGCAGCCTTTGTTTCTGAAGCCACGGCTGTCTCTCAAGGGGGAATGAGGATGTCCTCAGAGGCATGAGTGGCAGGTCCACCTTTGGTCCCACACGGGAAACTTAAACAGACACCAACCCGTGAGCACATGACCACTTACCCCTCATTTTCTCATTCACAAAATAAGTCATGATACCCTTGGGGGTGGGGGAAAGGCCGCAGCGTCGGCTGTACGGTACGCAGTCAATATCACTACAGGTAGCAGATTGAGTTTAACAAGCCATATGGGTTGTAATTGTCCAAGTATGATTAATTCATAATGTTTGTTCGTTTTATGTCTTAGATTATGGTTTGTTATTATTTCGTCTAATTACAGCGCTAAATCCCCTTTCTAGACGCTGTTGGGAACCCTTAGGGATTTTAATATTCCCCAAGTGACAGCAATGACCTCTCTCTGTCTCTGGACTCTGTCTGGGACTCCTTCGTATTGGCAGAAGGGTCACAAAAGGATGGCGTGAAGTTGGAGCAGATGGTGCATCCGTCCGTTGCTGAACTCTCCTGGCAGCCCAGAGGAAGACTTGAGACTGAAGGTGCTCTAACGGCTTTCTGCTCAGTTTGTTGTAAATCCCAAATGGGGTGATTGAGGGCTGTAATGAGCAGTGTTGTTGGATGCCTCTGGCTGCAACATCTGGCAAACGCCTTCACTAGCTGACAAGTGTTAGTCTTGGCCTCCTGCGGTGCCACCCAGACCTCTGGTTTTCAGTAGGTTGTAGACGAGGCTAGAAGCAAGGATCACTTGTTCATGTATCAAGAAGAATAATAAGAAAAAAATACCTCCATAACTTTGTTTTCAGAATTAACAATCCATCTGGTAAAAAAAACAGAGCCCTGGGTATACCATTACAGAAGTACTCGGAAGCTAGACTTTTATTATAGTTTCTTAGCGCAGGAATTTAAATTGATATTCTAAGCCTTGTGTAACCTCTCTCAGAGACAAATCCAAATTGCTAGCAGCACCAGGGGAATCTTGAAAAATGGCCTCCTCTCCTGAATTAGTGAAGCCGATGCAGGAGGTGCAGGCAGGAAACCAAACACCCAGTCCTCTTACTTTCAGAGTTCCTGCCGTGACAGCTACCAGATATCACAGTTCTATGCTCTGCTCTGAGATGCCAAGCACCCCCACCTGAGTCCAGTACCGTAGATGAATGCTGACCTTGTGCTGGGACTCCAGTTGATGCTGCTGCTGAAGATGGGGAGGATGCTTAGGATGCTGCTGCCGCCGCTGCTGCTGCTGAGGCTGAGGAGGTCACTAGTGATGTGGGAGAGGATAGCAAATCTTATCTGATGATGACATCTAAAGAACCCAATGTCTAAGAGGCCCTTATAAATGTTGATAACCCAAGATAGAAACTCTACCAGTAAATCCGGTGCTTCAAATCCTTCACCTCCAGAAATCAATTTTGATAGTGCCCAGAAATTTTATCTAGGGAAAAATGGGTTGAACTGCATGTGTGAGCTAAAAATGTGTGTGTGTGTGTGTGTGTGTGTGTGTGTGTGTGAGAGAGAGAGAGAGAGAGAGAGAGAGAGAGAGAGAGAGAGATAAAACAGGGTTAGCCCATAAGATAAGTAATTCTTCTAAGATGAATACCCTCAGTGGCCCCTCTTACTTTACATAACAAGGGAGACTGAGATTTAGAGAGATTAAGGCTCCAGGTCACCCAAGTGTAAATGGTAGAAGTAGGGTTTGAGCCCATCCTCCTAATAAACTCACCACTTCTCAACCACGACCTCCATGAAGATTCCTTAGAAACCATTATTTTTCTTGCCTCCTTATTTACCAAAGAAGCTACCAAGTCTTTGTCCTGATCCCAGGCCGTCTTTGTTGTCTCAGATGAAGGGTCACAGCAGACAACCGTGTTTGTGAGCTCACAAAATGTGGCTTTGGTTGTGAGTACAAAATTACAAAACCATAGTTCAGATATTAACACCTTCCTGGGCACGGATGATGGGTAGAAAATGAATGTCAGGGCAACGTGGAGGAGAAGAAAGAATGTTGCCTAGAGCTCAGAACAAGTCTGTCCTTCATGAGGGGTAGGAGGTGGTCAAGTTGTTGGACTTCTCTGAGACCCACTTCCCCTTTCTGTTAAAAGGAGAACTCTAGAGGAAATGACGTCCAGGGTTCTCCATGTTGTAAGGTCCACAATTTTAAGATGATGGAAGCCACGGGTCATATGTGGAAATAACCCGTATTGGTTTTTGTGCCATTGCTTGTATTAAAGTGAAAACGCCATTTATTTGAAGACAAACAAGCAGTATTTCAGTACAGTTTGAAAGCGGCGAGAGGCAAACTGTGTGCTGCGAAGTCTTCCTTTCCAAGGGCTAGGACTCACCCCTCTGGGAAGGGCCAGCGAGCCTAGCAACTGCCGGTTTCCCTGATAAAAGGGTTGCAGTGTGGTTATGCCAAGAACTCTGTGTCGACCTGGCCCCGATCCCGGGTCTCTTGTTCATGCCTGCTCCTGCCAGCTGCTGCTTTCTGCTCTAGCTGTTTGGAATCTGGGCCTGGCAATATGGGTCTGCCTTGGCATGCCTCTTGTATGTCTCTTTCTGTGTGCGCCTGTGTTTGTGTGTGTGTGTCTGCAGACTCAGCATGTCATAATGGTGAGGAATAAAAACAGTGTTCAGATGTGGGCCTTCATCTTTACCTGTGTACTGACAAGTCAACCCTCAACTTGGACTCTCCCTCCGCAATTCCTTCACCCTCCCTCGATTCCTTTTGCAGTTGAGCCAGCAAATGAGGCAGCGGAGAGAAAGCAGGGACTGTACCACAGGCTGAGCTAGCTGGTGGCCCAGCACCTGGAGGAGCGGTGATCTCAGCACATCTGGAGAACTGCATGGTAAATCTTTGCCTGCAGCGTGTACTACAGGGATTGAGGGGATTGGGCACTTGGGTCTCACCAGCTGTACCTGTAGCTCCGTTGAGGGTTGGAGACATCTAAGCAGGTTTGTGAGGGTCTGGACTTGGGAGACAATGCTGACTAGGAAAGTGTGTGGGTGTGTGGCACCCTTTTATTGTACAGCCTAGGTCCTGCAGCCAGCAGTGGTCTCTCTGTGCCTGGACTTTTCAACTTTCAATACAAATGAGCATTTCTTGTGAATTTTAAGTCAGCTTCGGGTGACTGGGAGTAAAAAAAAAAAAATCATTTAGACAACATTACCTGTAAATTTGTGGGAATTATGGATTCGACAGTTTTTTTATGAGTGTGCAGACTTGAACCTAGGGTCATAAACATGCTAAGCAAATGCTCTCATATTGTTATATCTTTAGCCTGATTATTTCTCTTTCTTATTGGTATCTAATCTTGTCTTCATACTACCCCTCACTCTTGAGCTAACTTTGTCGGCCTTTTGCAGCACAGGCACCTATTTCCGGGTTTGGTGGTTAGTAGGAAAGCCCCGTACCATTGAGCCATGTACCTAACTTTCAAGATAGGGTTTTACATTGGCAGCCCTGGTAGGCTTTGATCTTACTATGTGGTCCAGGCTGAGCTTGATTTTTAGAATTGTCCCGTAAAAATGGAGATTTCTTGTTTTCCCCCAGCTACTCAGACCTGAATAATCACACAAAATCTCTATTAATTACAACACTGTTTGGCCGATGGCTCAAGTGTATTCCTAGCTAGCTCACATGTCTTTAAATTGACCCAGTTCCATTAATCTGTGTATTGCCACGAGGCCGTGGCATTACCTCATTTTCTACATGTCTTGTTTCCTTGGCGATTGGCTGGCATCTTTCTCCTTCGGCAGCTATATGGCATCTGCTGGCTCCACCTTCTTTCCTCCTCTTTCTCTGCTTGGATTTCCTGCCTTGATATATTCTGTCTGGTAATGGGGAATCTCCTTTAGCTAATGGCCGTTGAGAGGCTGGGCCAGGTTGGGCGTGGCTTTGGGTACCAAAAAGGCCCTCTTGTCCTCTCTGGCTTTCCCTGCTTGCCACATCTGGGTGTTCAATTCCCTTCCTGTTTCCTAGTCGTGATCCGTGAGTTCCCTTTTAATAAAGAACACCTTAGTAAACCATATTAGAAGCTAGTGTGGGATTCCTTTATTCATGTTCCCCTCATTCCTGCTATAGGGCAAAGCAGCTTCTTTATTAACCAATGGCAATAAAACATATCCACAGCATACAGAGGAGAATCCCACATCATTTCCCCTTTAGTATCTAAATAAAAAGGAAGGTTTTAACTTTAACATAATAAAGTTATGTATAACAAAGCAGGTATCAAGCAAGAATCACACTTACATTATTTAGTCTATTTGTATCTGGAAAGTTTTTTTTATCATAACTGGGGAAAACAATAATCATAACTATCTGTCTTCAACTCCATCAAAGACCCCAGAAAGATACAATATTGCCTAAGTAAGCAGGTAGTGCATTGTAAGCAACTTCCAAAACTCTAGAACTGACAGAGACATTGTCCTGCTCCAGTCTTCTGAGTAGGGGGGTGACAGACCATGCCATCAGGCCTGCTTCTCATTTGATCATTCCTTCCACTGGTGCTCGTGGGTATGCCTGTCCAGAAGACAGATTAGCGAGAAGCCACCCGCCCTCCCGGAACTTAGTGTGTACAGAGAACACACCCAGTGATATCAAATCCAAAGCAGGAGATGCCAAGAAATACCTAAGAGAAGTGCTGCTGTCCAGCCCTAGGTGTGCCAGGCACAGGAAAGCCTGCGGAACACGGGAAGATCAGGTCCTGCCTCAGGCATGCCAGCCTCGCTGAGGATAGCAGCTAACATAGGAGAAATGGAATCACTGAGCGGGATGACATTGCCCAGCTGTGGCTACTTAGTGTCAACAGTAGTCAACTAGCATCTAGGATTAGGTCCACTCATTCTAGGTTGGAACTGACAGGTTACTGGTGATCTGGGGGCTGTGCTATTATGTAACAGATATGGCTAAGTGTGTAGCTTTTTCTTTCTTTCTTTCTTTCTTTCTTTCTTTCTTTCTTTCTTCCTTCCTTCCTTCCTTCCTTCCTTCCTTCCTTCCTTTCTTTCTTTCTTTCTTTCTTTCTTTCTTTCTCTTTCTCTCTCTCTCTCCCTTTCTTTCTCTCTCTTTCTCTCTTTCTTTCTCTCTCTCTCNTCTTTCTCTTTCTCTCTCTCTCTCCCTTTCTTTCTCTCTCTTTCTCTCTTTCTTTCTCTCTCTCTCTCTGTCTTTCTTTCTTTCTTTCTTTCTTTCTTTCTTTCTTTCTTTCTTTCTTTCTTTCTTTCTTTTCAAGGCAGGGTTTCTCTGTAGCTTTGGAGCCTGTCCTGGAACTCCCTCTGTTGACCAGGCTGGCCTCAAACTCACAGAGATCCACCTGCCTCTGCCTTCAGAGTGCTGGGATTAAAAGTGTGCACCAGTCCAGGGAGGGCAGCGCCCGTGAATTGCACTGCTTTGTCTACCCAGCTATGTGCTGCATCTGTAATAATCACTCAACAAACCTTTGCAGAGTAAGTACAGGGCATCCCCGTTCCTTATTGTCATTTCATGAAAAATCCTAGAGCACGGGAAGATGGGGGATTGCAGTTACCCAGGGGCTGCAGGTTCTAGACTTCTCCTCTGCCCTCCCTGTGGCTGTTCTCCCTGCTAAAGCAACCAGCTGACGCAACCCCACATCTGGAGAGGGATGACTGAGTGTAATCCCTTCCGACTGTAACGGTCCCAGCGGAGGGGCGATCGCGGAAGCATTTGAGGGGATAGAGAGTGACAGCCGACAGATGGGCTCATTGACGAGTCTGTCCCCTTGTGGTGCTCCTGTCACAACTGAATTATTCTGTCGCTGGTGCTGCCACTAAATCAGGCTGAGCCGAGAAGAGGAAAGACGGTGTTTCTAGCGACTCTGTCGGGGGAGGAGCGCTCCCTGGCTCCAGGAAAGGTTTATGGCTCTCTAGGAGTCCAGAGAGAGGGCAGAGTCGAAGGCAGGACGTGAGCAAGTGGCTGCTGCTACCGTTGGGTCCGGCTTTGGTGTCATTGGCTTAGCCAGGCTCTCTCCTGTGTCCTGCCTGCCTGTATTGAAGGAACCTGGCTTCGAGCTTAGTTGTGCTGAGTCCTCACCAGCCAACCATGCTGTCTTCATAGTGAGGGTACTTTAGGGGGCCTGTACCTGGGAACCTTCACCTGCCAAGCTCCAATGCCCTCCTGAGTAGAACACTCAAGACCTTTTTTTTTTTTCTCGAGACAGGGTTTCTCTGTGGTTTTGGAGCCTGTCCTGGAACTAGCTCTTGTAGACCAGGCTGGTCTCGAACTCACAGAGATCCGCCTGCCTCTGCCTCCCGAGTGCTGGGATTAAAGGCGTGCGCCACCACCGCCCAGCTCAAGACCTTTTCTATTCATGTTGCTTGGTCATGCTTCAAGGGCAGCTGGCCCAGGACTCTGGGTCGCTCTTGGAAGAAGGGACTAGCTGCCATGTCTGTGCCTCTGCCACGGTCTCTGTAAGTGACCAGATTCGAGTCCTAGCAAATGTGGCAGCCATGGAGAATGTGGCCTGGAGTGTACTAGAGCGCTTTAAAGTCAGGTCCAGATGTTAATGTGCTAAACACATTTAGAGTCACACGTCAATCTGCCTGCCTGTCTCTGTATGTGTCAAACTACCATCTTTGTATCTATCTGAGCAAACAATTTAAAATTTTTACACGTATTTTGTTTGTTGTGTGTGTGTGTGTGTGTGTGTGTGTGTGTGCACTTGCTCGAGTGTGCCAGGACACACATGTAACATTCAGAAGAAAACTTGTGGAAGTCATTTCTCTCCTTCTGCCACGCGAGTACCAGGAATCAAACGTTAGACTTGGTAGCCTGTGCCTTTATCCCTGAGCCATCTTGCATCTCATAGTTATTTTTGCATTGCTTATTATATTCTATTTTGTTAAAGTTCCAGCCATGTTGATGTTGGTCTGCATAGTGCAACTGAGTGATAAGAGAATTTATAGAGTGCACAACCACGGATAAAAATTATACTCTCTCTCTCTCTATATATATATATACATATGTATATATACGTATATATATGTATATGTATATATCTTAACAGTATTATGCTACATGGTATACTCACAGAACCATGTAATATATAATGTTGTTCTTGCAGGGGAACCAGGTTGGGTTCCCAACACCCACATGGTCTATAATTTCAGTTCCAGGATATCAGACAGCCTAGTTTGGCCTCCTTCAGAACTAGGCATGCATGTGGCACACTTACATACAGGCAAATACTCATGCACATAGAAGTTTAAAAATTAATCTTTAAAAATATAGGACTGATAAGAGACTTTTTACTATTGCTGTTGTTTTGAGTCAAGGTCTTACTCTGTAGTCCAGGCTAGCTCCAACTTGAGCCTCTTCTGCCTCAACCTTCCCGAGAGCTGGGGCTCTAAGCATGTGCCTCCCTGCCTGGCCAGAGAATGGTTTTCAAGAAGTTTAATGCTTTATTGCTTTGTGAGATTCTGGCGCAGTGTGGTGGATATTTAGTAATAGTCAGACCAGTTATATCCAGAGAACAATTTAGTGTGTTCAGAGCTGAGGTCTAGCTGAGCAGTGGGCCTAATGATGTCAGTCCAATAAAAAGCTGACTTACTCAGTGCATACCTAGAATCCTGCCACTTGGCAAGCTGAGGCAGGAGAATTTCCTTCTTGAGGTCAGCCCAGGCTACATAGGGAGCTACTATATAGTCTTGGTAAAATAACATAAAGAAACAAAACAGAAAAAAAAAAACCCTGTCTGCATTTTCTTGGTAAGTAAGAGTGACTAGTCTGAGTGGGGGATGGTGTTCAGATGGTGGGCATGGCTGCTCCCAGATGATGCATTAACTTGTTCTATTGCTTCTGTCTCCCTTTCCTGAGAGTGCAGCACACTACTGTTTC